GTCTCGTCGGAGCGCGCCATCGGCTCCGCCACCGCCTCCTCGCCGTCCGCATCGTGCGGCGCGACCGGTGGCACCGGCCCCGCAGCCGCGGGAGCGTGCGGCGGCGCGTCGAGTCTCCTGGACGGGCACATCGCCTTCGACGGCTCCGCCGCCGAGGAGACCTTCTACGAGTACTACGGCCGGCTGCTCGACGAGGCGGTGCGGCGCGCGGTGCGGCGAGTCGCGGTGAGCGGCGGGGCGGCGCAGGACGGCGCGGCGGCGGGAGGCGGCGAGCGCGAGGCGGCGGCGGGCGGGCGGCGAGCCGCCGCCGCGCCCGGGCCGGCCGGCGGCGGCGAGAGCACTGGCTTTTGCACCGTCGGCGAGCCGCCGCGCCGAATGAGCGAAAACAACTTGGCGCGGCTCGTCCCGCGCTCGTCCCGCTCCTCGATCAAGGAGGATGAGGAGGACTCGAGCTGAGGCGTGGGGGCGTGCGGCCGTGCCGACGTCCAGAACATCCGAGCGTGAGGCGTTCGCCTGGTGACGATCTGGACGCCCCTGCTCGCGCGCACGTGACGACCCACGTGCGGCGTGAAGGGCGAGGCTGGTGGAGCGAGAGAGAGAGAAGAGAGAGAGGGGCATGTGCATGACGTGAATGATTTTGTTGATGATTTTGGTTTCGACGACGGCACGACAAACTCACCTCCTCTCTCCCCCAAAGGCTTGCCGTACGGGGTGTGGCGAGGCTGGGTGAGAGGCTGAGACGCGTGAGAGACTGCAGACTCTGAGAAGAGTTGACCAGGGGGGTTATGCGCCCGCCCGCCGGGCCCTCCTGCTGTCCTGCTCGGCTCCAGGCTCCAGCCAGTAGACAAGTCGTGTCATCAACAGCGTAGAAGGATCTGACCTCAGGGCTGATGTGACCAAGCGTTGGTAGCGTGGTTTTACCTCACACCCGTGGTCTCACAGTGTGCCCGCAGTCACCGAGCAGTGTCGGCTGTCGCTCACACAAGCGGCAGCACAAGTGACTGAGGGCCAGTGAGGGCGAGCCCATCGCCGTCACAGCTGTGGCAGCGCACAGTACGTGGCTGGGTCGACAGCGATTGTAGGACAACGAAGGGACCAAGGAACCCTAGGAACCGGAGGAAGCGTCGCCTCCGGCGACCCCTCAAGGGGGAACTTCAGAGAAATGTACCCAAGAGGAATGTAGAGAGAGAGATTTTTAGAAGCCAACAAGAAATGTGTCACACAGAGTGATTTGCGCTCGGCGGAATGTACCGAAGTGAATTCGCAGAGGATTATACCCGAGAGGAATATACCAAAGTGAATCATGGGAATATACCCAAGAGGAATGTACCGAAGTGAATTCCCAGAGGACTATACCCGAGAGGAAAATAACAAAGTGAATCCAAGAACCAGAGGACTATACCCAAGAGGAATTTACCGAAGTGAATTCCCAGAGGAGTATACCCGAGAGGAATATACCGAAGTGAATCAGAGGAATATACCCAAGAGGAAGAATACACCATAGTGGATTATACCAAAGAGGAATACACCGATGTACCAAAGAGGAATACACCGATGTGAATTCCCGAGAGAAATATACAAAGAGAAATACCCAGCAAGAATATGCCAAAGTGGATTATACCAAAGAGGAATACACCGTGGTGAATTCCCGAGAGAAATATACCAAAGAGGAATATACCAAAGAGGAATATACCAAAGAGGAATATACCATAGAGGAATGTACAAAGAGAAATACCCAACAGGAATATACCAAAGTGAATACCCCATATACATAAAGAAATCCCCAGAGGAATACATCTAAGAAAATACCCAAGAGGAATGTACCTAAGGAAATACCCCAAGGAAATACCTAAGGGATATCTAAGGGTCATATCTAAGGTGTGAAGAACCGTCAAAAGTGGTCAGAACTGTACCTCCTGAGTAGATATGGCTCTCGTTCACAGTCGACTTGTGTGTGAACCAAAAAGTGGCCGCCATGGAGCCGCCTTCTTCGGTGCCCGCCCTCGCGGTCCGTGCGCCAGCCGCCACGCTGTCAGCTTGTGCGCCGGCTGCCGCGCCGGAGAGGCGCCGATCGCCGCGGCGCTTGCGACGGCACCGGTGCGGGCAGCGATGAGTGCTGTTTGCGTGTCGATTGTCGCCTCTTGGGCTTGTCCGCCAGTCGATCTGTGTGGTCACGCTCTCGCGGCGCTTGTTGTGTGAGTTGTACTCAGTAAAAGCGTTATTGACACGTCACCGTCCATCGACCCCACCCGCCGGCATCGCTCGCCGCGCGTTCCTTCCCACTTGTGCCGTACAACGCTCCGCGAATTTTGGACGGGACAGAGGGTGGCGTGCGGTGAGGAGAGTCTTCGGATAGACGGGCGCGTGCTGGCGGCTCCCTGCATCCATGCCCGAGATCCGGCGTGAAGGAATCCGTGGCGTGACGCGACCGTGTGCCGTACCAAGGGGCACTGGCTTGAGCTCTCCACATCGAACACGTCCGTTTTCGGAGATATATGGAGGCAGTAGACATAGTAAACATACGATCGCACGGTTGAGTGGGCGCACTCACGGTGCGGATGCCGACGCCGCTCACCACACAGACCGCACTCGCGCACACCGTCTAATCGCGGCACGAGGCTTGCCCTGGCGCTATCACACACGACACTATCACGCACGACAGCAGCAGGTCTGCCAGCAGACACGGGCGCGCTCATTCCTCGTCCTCCGGGTCGACGAACCAGGCTGTGAGAAACCAGTGGCTTCCCGGTGCCGGCTCCGCGTCCGAGACGTCGGTGACAGCGGTGACGGTGTTCGCCACCATGATGTGCAGGCGACCGTGTTCCCTGGGGTCGCTGATGGTCCGCTCAAAGTACTCGCGCCAGTGGTTGAGGGGGCCGACCGTGAGCCACGACGCTTCGTTCGCCCAGTGGTGCGCGAGCTCGTGCACCTGGTTCGTGGAGAGGTACTGCGCCTCGTCCTCGTAGCCCCAGTCGGGCATCGAGGTGTGCGCCGCGTACACGGTCAGCGGCACGTTGTGCGCGACGGCCTGCTCTATCGGGTACTGCGAGAAGTCGCCGCGCGAGTTGAGCAGGTCGTGCTCGAAGTTGTGCAGGTCCACCGCCCAGCAGGCTGCGAGGTAGCCGCACAGGTTGCGGAGCTGATCCGTCCCGAAAAGAGTCCTGGTGGAGAGGCCGCTCTCGGCCATGAGGTTGGCCGCGCTCTGCGCCTCGTTGGAGGTGAGCAGGTCGATGACGATGGCACGACCCGAGCGTTGGCGCCGGCGCGGCTGGGAGTCGGCGGTGCACCCCTCCTTGTCGTTCAGCACCTCGCACCACTTCTTAGCGTCGGACAGCGAGAAGGTCGTGAGCACGGCGGGTGAGGGGATGCCTGGCGCTGGCTCGACTGTCGAGTGCTGCTGCGGGGCGTTGTAGAGGATGGTCTCGATGAGGGCGAGTACCTCGGCCTGGTTCGCCGGTTCGACAGTGTCCATGAGACCCAGCCGCCACATCGCCTCCGAGCGCCCCACGTCAAAGCCCGCGATGTCGTTCCACTTGCCCGCCAAGACCGACTCGTCCAACCGGTACTTCCCAGTCTGCATCATCCAGGCAGGAGCGGCAGAGACATCGCCTGCCATAGCGCCCGAAGCGAGTGCTCGAAGACGCACCACAGTCCCAGGCGATGGAGGTTGCCCAGCTTGAAGGCCATCTGTTTTGAGTCTGCCCATGGGTTGCCGTTCGTCTTGTCCGACGTCTTGGAGATGAGCGACGCCTTGGCGAAGTACAGCTCTTTCCCCTGCTTGAGCTCGTCGTCGTCGATCCCGAATCGAATGCCCAGAAAGTGCGGCCGCCCGCGATCCTGACAAGCGAGGCGGGTGTGTGCAGTGAGTGCAGTGTGGAGGGTCGAGCGAGTGTCGTCAACGCGGACCTTATCGTCGTAGCCCACGAAGTATTCCCAGTCCTTGTGCGCAACCGTCTTGCACGAGAGGCGCGGTTTTTTGCCGTCCACGCACTCGTTGATTAACTGGTTAGCAGACAGGTAGGGGTGAGCGTGACTCGTAACACTAAGCTGTCTCGCCCAAACCATTACTTACACACACAAAGAGTCGCGGGGAGTCGCGGGTTGGTCTCGGGGAGAGCATAGGTACAGGTGCAGGTCTCGTGGACAGCTGACACTCTGACTAAGTAACAAGAGAAAAGAATTTTCTCACAGAGAAGGGCGGGCAGCACGCCCGCCACCTGAGACAGCCAGTCACGGTCGCGGCCTTCCGACTCGCGCCTCCGCCTCACTGGCACTATTGTAGCCCTGGCCGGTGCGCGTGTGGAGTTGAAACTCCCGAGTAAAAATTCGAACGCGTTCTCTCACGGTGACCAAAAAATGTCCACCTCAGAGGCACCTCCGGAGGCAGGCCGCCGCACGCCGGCGACACAGCTCCAGCTGTCGAGCTGACCCGCAGCTCCTCTCATAGCGGGAACTGTGACGAAAGTTGACTGAGGCGGTTGTCAGGAATCATCATACGGATCACATGGTGGCTCTCTCATGACGGGAGACCGCCCGACCACTCCTGGGTGGCACTGCCACCGGTGTCGCTCGACGTCCTGTCGACAGCGTGCCGACAGCGACACAGACCATGTGGGACGCGTCGAGTATCGACCTCTACTGCTTACCCAGCCTTCGAGTGTATCCTGCCTGTGGTCCCACACCCACTGGTGTCCATCGCAGAGACCGCAGGAGGTCATGAGGGTCGATGGGAGTGCCAACCCCACAATGCCTAAAGACCCAGCCCAGTAGGCTGTGCCAACTGTGCAGAGCGTGTGAGCAGCAGAGGAGCTGCTCCCTCCAGCCTCCAGGCTTCACAGTCGCAAAGAGGTGCATGCCACCGAAGGCGCTGGGCCTGGGTCGAGGTTCGCCGAGCGCGGCGAAATCCGCTATCCGGGGCGCGGCGGGGACACCGTCACCGACGAGCGCGTTGGAGTATTCACTCCGGACAAAAACAGTGGCACGCGCCGCTGCGCGGTGCGTGCCACTGCCACTGTGGTCTTAGAGTTAGACTTAGCGGCGAGAGGCGCGGGACCGCGTCTGTGGCGAGGTGGGTCGCGTCCCCGCTTTTCCGTCACTTGACCGCCCTCCACACACCCTCTATCCTGCCTCTCTGACGTGTGACGAGTGACGTCTGGGGGGCGCGTGGTGGCTCAACTCTCCGCTTCGCGAGGCGTTCGACATCGCGCTCGCCAGCACACGTGCGAGGGCAGCCTGTGGCGCCGCTCGGCCCGCCCTGCGAGTTGTTGGGCTAGCCCTTTAGCGCGACGCCCACCGCGTAGAAGGCGGCCGTCGCAACCGCCATGATGACGCTGTTGACGAAGATGCCGCGGTTGTCCTTCGGGACGGCGACGTCGCGCAGCACGACGGTGATCTTGAAGACGCGGTACGAGAGCACGAAGTAGACGGCCGAGACGACGGCCATGTTGAGCCAAAAGGAGGGCAGCCAGACCATGAGGAACTTGGGCGAGCCGTTGATGCCGGTCGACTTCATCCAGATGTGGAACTGCAGGATGTACGTCTCGAGCGTCACCTTGCCGCACCAGGTGAAGAGGTGCATGTACCGGGCGCGCAGGCCCGCGGTCGCGTTGCGCAGCACGAGGAAGACGGCGATCGGGATCCACGACGTGTACGGGTGCACCTTGTTGTACTCGCGCTTCGGGCGGAGGAAGTAGGTGTGCACGTACCAGCCGCCGACGGCGAGGGCGCCGCCGATGACCGCCGCCTTGGCGAGGGCCCGCTTGCCCGAAGGCAAGTCCTCGATCGCCTGCAGCTGGCGGTCGTACCACGGGAAGGAGTAGGCGCAGAGCATGCCGAAGATCCAGACGAAGTGGTCGAGGCCGGAGCGGAAGAACCACTCGTGAAGCGAGTCGGTGAACTCGGGGTGCCTACGCGGCAGGGGTAGCGCTGGCTCCGAGGCAGCTCCTGGACGGCGTGCGCCGGTGAGCTCTGGGTGCAGAGGGTCGTGGAAGCCGGCGGTGGGCTTGAAGACGGCGTGGAAGACGCCGGGCACGTCGTAGAGCAGGACCCTGCGCGGGCGGCGCCGAGAGGGGCGGGGGATGGGCCGAGGGGGGCGGGGGATGGGCCGAGCCCGAGGGGCAGGGGAGGAGTGATTGTGAGGGAAGCGGGTGGGAAGCGGGTGGGAAGCGGGAGGCGGAGGGCGCACGTCGCCCGCCGCTTCGCCGCAGCCGCCTTAAGGCACGCATAGCGGCAGCACATGGTACGGTGCGCGTACTTGAGCAGGCGTTGCGCGCCGCAAGTAGCGCACTGGCCCTGGGAGACGGCGATATGGCGTCGTGCGCTGTGCGGCATACGCTGGTCGGGACCGCGTCCAGGTATTTTTCGGGTAAACCTGGACTTTTGCAGGTATTACCCGGGTTTTACCCGGAGTTGGCCTTATGTCGTCTAAGTTCATGGCCCCCGACCATACAGCGTCTAAGTCTGAGCCCGGCTCCGTGCGGGGGCTAAGTTGAGCGCTCGCTCGCTGCAGAGGCTAAGTGTAGAGCGACCCTCTAGCCCTACTACCCAACCATTGGTGGGGCGGGCGAGCGCGCGGGTCGGGGCTGGTACGCACGAAGAAGTTGAGCCTCCACATCATCTGCATAAAGCGCGGCAGCGTGAAGTCCTTCCGGATGTAGTAATAGGAGAAGTTGTCGAAGCCGGTCATCCAGACGTAGGCGGCGATGTAGAGGCGGATCGCGTTGTAGATCTCCCCCTCCGCAAAGTAGTGGTAAAAGATGAACTGCAGCTGCATCCAACCCTTCCACTCCTCTGTCTGGTCGCGCTGCAGCGGCGCCGTCACGACCTCGCCCTTCTTGCCGGCGAGGCGGAGGGTGCAGAGTCCGACGGTGAGCACGGCCGCGCAGAGGCCCCAGAACATCGTCGGCGACACCGTCTTTGGCCCCTTGGCGAACAGCGTCGTCCGGTCGCACAGGTAGACGTACCCCATGATTGCGGAAAACTCGGCGGCGGCACGCAGGGCGGCCAGGCCCGAGGATCTGATGCCAAATATGACCGGCTCGGGTGGAGAGATCGAGTCCCTGCTCGACTCGTCCTCCGTCGTGAGCACGGACGCGTCCTCGCCGCCCGATTCGCTCGCCACCTTTATCCCTTTGAGCCCCGCGTCCTCACTACTCGGCACGCCACCGTAGCCGAGGCGTGGAGAGAGGAACATCCCAACCTCCACGCCGAACCACGCGGCGATGGCGAGCCCGTAGGCCACAGCGACACCCAGCTGCGCGGCTGTGTAGTCCGTGTACTCGGATATGGAGCCCATCCAGATGAGCAAGAAGCGGTACGCAGCCAGAGCACCGCTCGCTGCAGCGACGCATGCAAGGTGTGGCAGGAGCGCCATCCCTTTACTCGCGTCGCGCGGAGGGCTCGAAGCGGCGTCCGCGGCGACGGGGCGATAGCCGGCGCGGCTCCTCCGGCGGCTCGGAGGTGAAAGCTCGCTCCAAACCGTGGGTGTCGTGACTGCGCGTGTTCGACGCCGCCAAGGCGCCTTACCGCCCGTACTTTAGCTTACTGGGAGAAACGACAGAGACCTTGCGTGTCTACTCAGCGCGTAGCACACTCCTTTCCTTCAGATGTGTGGCGGCGGCTTGCCTTCTCCCATCCCTCATTTGCATCCTTGGTATTCTTATTGGCCCGGCTTGTCTTTGGTGGTTCTGCCACGCAGCTTCTACAATTGTAGTTTAGGTAACAGTTTACCGCGGTGTGGCAAACTTGGTCCGAACCGCTCGTAGCCCCAGCAACCGCGATCCCCCTGCGAGTGTTTTGTGTGCGCCCGAGCCGAGCCGGCATGGACACCAACCAAGTGGACGATGACGACATGGCCTGGTTTTTCGGAAGGGCGGGCGAGTCCAAGGAGAAGTCTACACCCAACAGCGGCGGCCACGCCAGAGCGCCGCCGCAGCCACGGGACTGTGACCACTGCGAGCATTGTGGTGGGAGAAAGACAGTCGTCGAGACGAGCAGCCGAGACCTCGAGGCGAGCAAGGCGACCTGGGCGGACGTGCGTGCGCTCCCTCCACTCCCCAAGCAGCACCTCGACCACATGCGGAAGGAGGCGCGGAGAGGCAAAGTGCTCGTCTCGGGCTTAATCGTCCTGTTTTGCGCGCCCGTCACCCTGTCGGGCGACGAACGCACGTGGATATACGCGGTGCTCATCTACACGGGCTGTTCCGTCGCATTTGCCTGCCTGGTCGTTATCATGTGGTCCGACCCTGGTGTCGTGAAGAGATCGCCGGAACGCTGCTTTCCGCAGCCCAAGTCGATCATCGAAGCGCTCAGCGAGAGCAAGGGCGTCAACAAAATACAGGGAAACGTCAAGGTGGGCGAGCACGTCTTCTGCGGCCGCTGCTTGGTATGGCGGCCAGCCGGTACGAAAGTGCACCATTGCTCGATCTGCAACCGTTGCGTCTATGGTTTTGACCACCATTGCGGCGTCTTTGGGAGGTGTATCGCCGCGGGCAACATCCGCCCGTTCGGCCTGATCATCATGATGGGCTTCGCCACCTTTTGGACCTGGCTCGTCTTCCTCTCCTCCGAGTTGCTGTGGGACCTCGGCTTTCAGGGCGGATACGGCGAGGTGGAACCTCTTATAGCGCCCCCCGCACACGCTGCAACTCAGGTTCCGCGTACCTGGCTGTATCTCATGGAACCCGTTGCCTCGGCTAGGTGATTGCTTCCGTAGCGCTCGCTACGTTCTGCACCTGGCTCCTCTTGCTCATCATCGTCAAAGCCTGCTGCGTCTGCCCGCACAAGCAATGAAGTCGGACGTCGCTTGAGCCCAGCGCTTCTTACCTCGGCCCACACGGCCACACGCCTTGGTCAGATGACTGGGGAATCGCCTAGCGCGGCTACAGTAAATAAACGAATCTCTCTACTGCACTAGCCGTCTTTTCCGGCTGTAATGGTGAAAGCGCGCCCAACTCCCTGTCTCGAACACCATGCTCGATACGAACACGCAATACGTGCGCCTCCTGTCGACTCGCTGATTTGGATGAAAAGACACGCGCGTCGCGTGCGGTGTGTTCGAACTGCACCTTCCACATAAATGACAACGGGCACCTCACACGGGCCGATGACTGTCCAGGGTGTCGTGTCGGGGACTTACTAGCCGTGTCAGGGCCTCTACTTGCCCAGTGCTGCCACGAAGACGGGCGTGCGAGCGGGCAGCGAGCGGGCAGCTGGTGGCAGCGGCGACCGCGTCCAGGGGCTCTTCCCTGAGCTCAGGGCTGCTTGCCGAACGCGCCGATGGGGGCTGGGCGAGGCCACCAGCGCCGTCACGCCGAGACGCGGAGAGGAGTGGTCGCTCAGCGAGCCAACGATCACGTGAGGTGGCGCTAGGAACCGCGTCTCCTCGCACGAGTTCGCCACCGGCCGCGGGCGAGCAACTATAGACTCCGTGATGTAGAGGCCGGGCCGGAGCAGAGGTGCAGTTGCCTGACGCTCGGAACTCATCGGACCGAGTCGTCGCCGCTCTGACGTGAACTTCCACTCGCCCGTCTCGATGTAGTTGCGAGCGCGGCTGGCAACCTTGGGCGAATAGTAGCGCGACGTGACGGCAGCATTGCCGCCAGCTTCTCCTTGGCTGACCGCTGGCGCGAGCGCCACCGCTCGCTGCGGCGTCAGCAAACGCCTTGGAGAAGTTGCCGGAGAGGTTGCAGTGGACTGCAGGCAGACTGCTGAGCGGCGGCGCGACGCCCTACCAGCCTTGGCGCGCTCACGCGCCTCCCTCTCTTGGACGGCGGGCTTGAGGACGGCAGCCACAGCGAGCTGCTTCTTGCGCAGCGCAAATCGGCCCGCCTCGGAGCAGCTTGGGTCCGCCAGCGCCTGGTTCAGCGCCTCGAGCGCAAGAGAGAGGGTCCTCTCGTCGAGGCCCCGCACCTTGCGCTTGTCCCCGAGCGCCGCGAGGGTCTCTTCCAGAGCGAGCGCCGCGGCAGCACCCGCCACTGGCTCCGCAGCGGCCCGTGGCGGCGCCCCCACCTTGCGCACCTTTGAAGCAGTGTCCCCGAGCAGCAGCACTTGCACCTGGCGCAGCTCGTAGGCTCGCATTGTGAGTTTCTTGTGGATCGCCCTCTCCTGCTCCTCGGATGTGCAGCAGCGCAGCTGCGACTCGAGCGCAGCGAGCTGGCGCTCGTTGACTTCCCGGCGCCGCTCATAGGTGAGACGGGCGGCTCGTACGAGCTCCCAGCGAGCAGCAGCGCACCGGCTTGCCGCCTGTATGAGGCGGACTGCTCTGCCCAGACGAACGAAGCGGATGCGAGCCAGAAGCGCGCGGAGGCGGGTCCGGAGTAGGGCCGCCGCAGTCTCACGGCGGCGCCACGTGCGTGCGGCGATGCCACGGACCCGCGCCTGCACCACTGGAGCCATGGTAGCGGACGCCCTTTTCTGCGCCAGCCGCGACTCCGCCTCCGCACGTGCCTGCTGCGCGGCTTCATACGCCGCACGCTGAAGAGCCAGACCTGCAGCCCTAGAAACGGCGGCGCGCCGGCGATGCACGGCCTGGAGGCGGGTGCAAGCAGCTTTTTGCGCGCGGCACCGAGCCGCCGTTCGACGTCCAGCGCGAGCTCGCGCGGCGGTTTGCACCGACAAGCAGCACCTTTTGAGCTGCTCCAGCCGTGCCTCAGCGGCGCGCAGATCAGCGACAGACAGCGCCAGGGCTGAATCGTTGACTGAACGCATCCCCTCACCTTGATCAGCGCCAGCTTCCACTGACTGCAAGAGATGGTGCGCCACGGCGGCCTGCGGGGAGGGGAACTCCTCGCCACGCATCACCCCACCGTAACGGCCAACCCACCATGCGAGAGACGCCTCGTACGGCCGGCTCGAGAGCAGTGACTCTGCACGCCAGGCAAGCATCTCATCGACGCTTCTTGACTCAAATCGCTCCATCTCGCCCGTGGCAGTTGCGTTGAGGCAGTGGACCGTCAAGAACGGAGAGCCACACGCCAGGCCGGCGGCCGCCAACACGGACTGGTGCCCATCGGCTGAGCAGGAAATTCTGGATGAGCAGGAGTTGAACGATTCGCAGGCCTGCCGCACAAACGTCGACGAAGAAGAGAGTAGGACGGGGAGGAGCGAAGACAGTGCCCTCGCCGCGTGGTGTGCATCCTCTTCTGCATGCGGCGCGGAGGGAGAGGCCGAGAGGCGGCGAGCCGCTTGCTTGGCCTCTTTGCTGTCTCGGCCCGCAGCCACCTCGATAGCGTGGACCTCCTCGAGGAGGGCATGGAGCAAGCCGTCTGCGCCTCTCGCATCGCCCTCTGGCAGACCTGGGGTCGCCGGCAGGAGGAGCCGCACGTCTCGACTGCAGCCGGAGCTGCTGCTCACCGATTCGCTGGTCACGGAAGCTGTCTCTGCGGCTTCTGACTGCGATCGGCGCGCCGCCTTGAATAGGGCACGCCGGGTGCGCCGCTTTTCGGCCTCTGCCTCTTGGCGGGATGCGCTAGCCGGCGGCTCCACAGGCGCAGCAGCTTTTGGTGAGACTTGAGAGGTGGATATGCTCCGAAGGTACCGGTTGGTATGGCCAACCACCCAGTGGAGCATCAGCAAGAGGAGACCATCGCCCAGGTCCGAAGCCAAAGCCCGAGCGTCGCCCAGGTCCGAAGCCAACGCATCGCGCAAAAGCGGCACCCGAACCCCCAGCAGCGTCGCCGCAGCAGCGATAGCACGTTTTGACTCGTCGTCGGCGGGCGTGGCGGAGTGGCCGGGGAGGACGTACCAACGCACGCTAGCGATGCGCGCTGATGCGTTGATGAGAGCAAGGACGCCCTCAACCTCGGTGCTGCTCATGCCCGCGCAGCTGCACTTGCGGCCAAGCAGCTTTCTCCGTCCCTCCGCCGTCGCGCGCTGGCGCTTTCTCTCGTATGTGTCTTCTGGCAGTGGTGCGTAGAGCGCCACCACCAGCGCATTCGACACCGGCGTCGAGCGCCGCAACGCCGGTAGCCGCACCGAGACCTGCGGAGGCCCGCCTACCGTCTCAGTCACCGTCCAGAGCTGTGTGGTTCCCGAAGGAGGCAGTTTGTCCGAATCGGCTGGAAATGTTCTGCACGTCAGCGTTTGGAGCAGCGCCCGACAGTTCAAAGCCGCGCTGGCGCCATCCCTGGCCACCCTGGCGATTTCCGTCGCCCGGGCACCAGAACCGCAGCCAGCTCCGCTCGCGATGCCTCTCAAGATGGCACCAAAAGGGGTGGAGGTCGAGTCCTGGTCGCCGGTGAAGATGATGGCTCTTGGACTTGGATTCGCTGCCAGGGGCTGTGCTAGTCCCCTGCCTATGCTCGCTCCCACATCAACAAGCCCCTCGCAGGAGCCGGTGGCGTTGCCACACACCAACGCACGGCCGCCAAGAACCGTGTGGCCACAAGCGCCGGCCAAACGGCAGGCCGCTCGCGCCGCTGCATCACCGCTCGAGAAATCGCTGCCAACCAGGACATCGAGGT